ACAAATACATACATACATAGAATATACTACCAGAAGAAAAAACAAATTTCTCTTGGAAGAAGCACAATGGAAATATTTCTTAAAAGCAAGCTTGGCCAGACTTCCCTCTGTACTTTGGGTATGTTATCAGGAGGGACCAGTCCCTGGAGAAAGACACTTAAGTAGAGGGTCAGCGAAAAAGGTGAAGACCCCCAATAAAATGGATTGACACAATGACTGCAACAGTGGCTCAAACATGGCAATGATCATGGATGGCACAGGACCAGGCAGTGTTTCCTTCTGTTGTACATCAAGTCACTTTTCAAAACCGATTCCATAGCACCTAACAACAACATTCACAAGAGTGGATGGCTGAAGCCCAATATCTTGAATCACAGGATTAAACATTCATACAACCTTTGTGGGGGAAAAAAAGAAAATGAAGATGACTCCAAATATAATTTCTACTATTCACTTTTGCAGATGTAAAAACTGACTGCAAGAACAAAACAAAAACAAATCCATCTTAGTCCTGCTGACTCCCACACACAGGAATCCTGTAGGAGAGTAGAGCTGTCCCATAGGGTTTCCAAGGCTGTAATTTTTATGCAAGTGGACTGCCACACCTTTTTTCTGAGGGCTAGTGGATTCCAATCACTGGCTACCAGCCAAGAGCTTTAACAATTGCTTTACCAGGGCTCTTAAAAACTGACTCAGAGATGAGTAATAGTATTATTACTAAGTAGTATATTACTACTAGAAAATAATTTTGAAAAATTTGATACAGTAAAGGAAAGCATCTAGTGTAATTTAAGTACTTAAAATTGGGAAATATTAAAATAGAAGTGTACAGTAGAGTTACACAAAAAAACCAAACCCACTGCCCTTGAGTGGGTTCTGACACATAGAGACCCCTCCTTGGGTTTCGAAGGCAGTATCTCTATGAAAGTAGATTGCCCAGTCTTCCTTCCGAGGAGTGGCTGGTAGGTTTGAACCATCAGCCTTCTGAAAATGAGACTGTTTATAAAAACAAAGACAATTGTGACTTGTATATGGAATATTCTATGTTTATTGATGTTGCTTGATAGTTTCAAGGCCATAATTACCACATACCAAAAATATTAATTTAAAGCATTTCCAAATAAAATAAATTCAACTCTTCAAAGATACTCACTTAAACAAGTATTCTAAAATTGGTATTTATGTTTTTAACATTAATAAATATTATCTCTTACTGCACAGATTTTGTATCAAGTTCTCATATATATCATCCACCTTTAATCT